TCACGTACGAGACACATTTTATTACGTATTTTGTTGTATTCCCTTACGATTGATTGTCTTTTCCGAACACGTCAACTGTTATGGTCCCGTTTGTGTGGGGAAGGTTTTTAAAATATACATGTGTAAAGTATGAAAATTATTTCCCATATTATTCTACATTATCCGTTTAACACGCGAAAGAGTGAAATAACAAAGTTAATGAAATACAACGCACGCGGGTGTCGTGTCATATTCTTTCACAACAGCAGCGTAACGAGCAGTCAAAGAAATTGATGTTAGGGTACTGATCCGTGAATATTTTACGAATATTTCGACGTTTGTCAGGCGAAACAACCTTGGTAAGAAGTAAATATGGCGTTCAAAACGCCGTCAATAGCTTGACGTCCGTCAAAGCTGATCGGGATTGGTGAAAGTGAGCGTCCGGGTCATAAAGTGTTGGAAAACAGTTTTTATATTGTCATCTTGTCTTTGCCGCAGGCACTGACGCAGATATCGACGCTGGAATGGATCCGCGCTACTATGGACTGGTACGCCAACTCGTGCAACTACTCGCTGTCCACGAAAGGGGTACGCCAACTGTTCGACTACCCCGACGACTTCCGTTTCGACCTCATCGTAATCGAGGTGAGTCAAGCGATCGATATTACCCCTCCCCGTGCTGACAGTGCCTCCGATAACATAGCTGACTCTTGGTATCAAGCCGGTACTAGGGGGCGCTTATAAAAGACCCTATACATGTACAGTAGTGCTAAAAAAACAGATATTACTCCCCCCCACTGCTGGCAGGGCCGCCGACAGAATATCTGACCCTTGGTACCAAGACGGTACTAATGGGCGCTTATAAACGACCCCAGACATGTACAGTAGTGCTAATAAACAGCATCACCTCGCTCACAGTTGTAATATGCAATATAATCCTGAAAATACACCACTTGGTTTGCAAAGATCTAGTAAGTTATGAATGTAATGGAATCAGAAACATCAAATAATCCATATAGAATATATGATTGCCAATTTCTACTAATTACAGAATGCTGAAATACAGAATGCCCATTTTTTAGGTGATGCTGTTTCTTAGAGTACTACTGTATATATCCACGCATTTAGCTGTATAGTATTATTATTTTTTACGACTGACTACATTAGTCTATTTAAAGAAATCCCGTAAAAATTGTTGTGCTCGATTTCAAAAATCTGGACATTACGAAACAACAAGAATCGTCAAGATTATTGAGCAGAAACGAAATGTTTCACAACAAAATGACATTCTGCTTTTATTTTCAATCCTAAGTAATGTATCTGGTAGTTATTCACATTCTGAAGAAAAGTGGAATTGAAACATTGGCTTTTAATAATTAAACAACATTTTATAGATGTCGTAAAGCTATGTTATATATGAAAGTCATGCAAACTGCTCTAGCATTTATGGATAACAAACTGTATATGAGAAAATAAACATTCAAATGAGTAAATAAATATTAAACTTCCTGCAAATGTTACATACATTGTTATTTATTTTTCATGTCAAATTATTTAAAATTAAATATAAATTTATATTTTTATTGTGTTCCTATTTAGTATGTATTACATATGCATTTGTTTTTGTTGTTATGGTGGTGGGTTTTGTGGTAGTGGGGTTTTGTGTGTGTATATGTGTTACAAGCTTCTAAAGCATTTAGACGGGTCGCAAATAGTAACTTTTTGGAAATGAACCTGCAGTAGCAAATTTCATGTAACGGAGTTACATGCAAGTCTACGACATATGCGCCTAAACATTAGGTAACCCAATATTCACAAATATTTGACAAGTCACGTTCTGACGCAATCAGGGGCTGTCATATACCTGCCTAACATCTGTGTTTCCGAGGTTTACCAAAAAATCAGAGACAAATTCCATATGTGTAATTGCATGTAACTCCGGTTTATGAAATGTCCCGGTATATGAAATGTACAAGATATTTGGCACAATGTGAATATTTTCGACTTTTTACACTTCACTAGAAGTTTGTGACATTTACTCTCAGACACCCTCTATCCGTTTACGCCCACGCATCGAATACTTTGCGTAGGGGTCGGGCGGTGAATGCCTCCTGGGCTTCGTGGAGAAGTTCGGACGACCTCCCGTCGTAGCCATCAACGGCTTCGGCAACCCGCAGTGGCTCAACTGGAACGTTGGCAACCCTGACCACCCGGCCTACGTGAGCAACTCGCAGCTCACCCTACGATGGCCCTTCTCCTTCACCGATAAGCTAAAAAACGTCCTAATGTACCTCGCCACGCTCTACCACTATTATGCGGAATTTTTGCCGGCCAACGACCGCATGTTACGCACGTAAGTCACCCTCTCCTCACATTTTATTTTTCTATTGCACCAATTTATACGAAAATTATAAAATGTGTTTCCCAATGTTTTTTATTCATTTTTGCCCCTCGTATGCAGCACAGGACGGTAAAAATGTGTGCTGATCCTATTTTCAGCAAACTCTTCGTATTTTCAAAAACGCTTAACCCATTCGTTTCAGCCTTGTTTTCATAGCACAAGCCTTTCCCTTAGGTCTAAATACCTTAACCTACCTTTTATCTGACGACTTTCAACACAATATCAGGATTCACACCGGAATAAGCGGCAAGTAGAAAAATGTTACACACATTCCGAGAAGAACTCCATTTTCAGTCACTCTAGTACTGTGTGCGGACCAGACACATTCACGTTTCCGTGACGTCTAAAGACTTTTGGCCATTCTTCTTCATGACGTTTGGGAGGCGTCAAAGGCGCGAATGCGTTAAAAATGCGCAGATCTTTCATTTTCAAAAAAACCTCTTGAAGTTTTGAAAATTGCAAAAGTTAGAGACAATGCGAGAAAGTGTGTTGTTCGAGCACCACTAGTTCTCTTTTGTCTCGTAAGTTAGCAATTCCCAGCTCACTACGTCCTCTTACTCATCCCTTCCCCAAAGTGTATCCCTACCCATTCCACATGCACAGTTCCTTCCTCTTCGGAATCCTAACAAACTTGTACCAACGTCTTAGAACATCATGGCGGGGGGAAGGTTATTTATAAGAACGTAGCAGACAGTGCAGAACGTAGCATAAGTGTATGTATTTGGCATTTTGGGCCGATTCTTTGACTTTGAAGCAAGCTAATAGTGTCACCCATTGCTGGGTTCAATGTAATTCCCACAAATAATTCTCATAAAGAAGACATTTGGCGAACATGTCGTATTTCCTTCACAGTAACTAGCAAACTCCGCCTGCATGCGCTTTCTTTTATCACTCAGCTGCAGATACTCATACGATTTTCAAGGATGAATACAACTCTATTTTTGCCTCAACCAAATATCGAACCCGGTATCTCAATGTTGGAAGGTAGATTCTCACGAGACACTCCTTGGAACAGTGTTTCTGTCTGAAACAACTTAATGCCGAATCTTGCTAACAAATCCAAAAAAATCACTTTTCTGACCTTTAGGGGCAACTTTTGAATGACAGACTTTCGTTTCACATCTGCATCACGTGACTAATATTCTCGGTGCTCGTAGTTTCTTAATAATGTTTACATAAAATACTAAAAACTACAAAACCACCTCGTGAGAAAAATATATAGTGTTCATTATTTCTCCCAAAAACGATAGAGAAAAAATTCAGTTTTTGAAGGGTGTGTTACTATTTCGCGAAATTACAACGTACCTCTTTAAACCGATGATCTATATGCGTTTGCAAAAGAAAGATGACAGACCAAACACTATGCCTTTTCGCAGCTAATCAGTTATTCAAAAAAAAACTTCTTATCACAGTGTCAGTGACCCATGTGCGTGGGTGCTTATGTAACCGAACTCAACGCACGCTACGTTATCATCAATCGTACGCTATGACAAGAGAACTTTGTCTCAAAAAATAATTCACACAGTGACGTATCGTAACGTCTAGAAATTGCACATTCATTCATGGAAATCGCCACGAAGACATTTAGAGACGATGAACGATTTTACTTTTTACAAGCCAATGCTCACCTAGATAAACGATAAAAATAGACTGTAGTTTCCTCATCGACAAAACTGGTAAATTACATTAAAAATACAAAATTACATTCTTATCTAAGTCCTACTAACTTTGGACCGGCCCCATAACTTCTAAACGGTTCACTACATCGAAGTAAAGTTTCGATCACTAATGCTGAATCATGGAGCAAGTAATATGCCGCAGAGATATTATTTGAAATATTTTAATTTTTTTCAAAAAATTTAATTATTTTTTCATTTCTTAAATGGAACTATATATTTTTCTCAACTGTAAAGGATAGATCATAAAAAGAAAACCATGACGTACCATATGTTAGTATTTTGTTAATAATTTGAGTACAAAATTAAATTTTCTGACATGTGAGATCAAAGTAAACGGACAATATCCTATAGCAGCCCGTGTAGCCTTCGGGGAAGGTGGCCTTTGTGGCTCTGAGACGGACACGGGAAACTATGACGTTTAAATTACAATCTCATGTCAGAAAATCTTCGTTTTTGCTTAAAATACTGTCAATTTTTTTAACACAAATTTCTCAAAAATGGTGCCAGATGTTTCTTTATTTTTTTCCTTTAAAGAGCACAGAACACTTCAAAATGGCGTAGATCATATTTTTGTTGATTGATAAATTGCTTTATTACTGTCGGCGGGCGCGTCAACTGCTATGGTTAGTCCCACAAGTGCAGTGCATGTTTTTATCATCGGAGGTGTCTGTGATCTTCCCCCGCTGGCTGGTGAGATCCGTAACGGAAGTACGTCAGCCTGCGAGGATATTCCCCAACCAAGTATCTCCCACAGCGGGACACCGCCCCAGCCAGAACAAGTTCGACGCTCCCACCGTGTATGGTAGGGAAGTGCATGTGAGTGTGTATGTAAGTAAGATGTCACAATAGGTCAAAAAAAGAGGAAAGAAAGATCGCGCGCGGTCCGTGGCCCGTTTGCTATAGTTCTACTCCAGCATTCGTCTGGTGATGATAGGATAAATCACAGAAAAGTACAATCAGAGTATCCAGCTGCTATAATTTCCCTCCAGACAGCGACTGATTTTGATCGACATAGGTAGTGTCGAAAATTCTGCCTCAACTGGACTCGAACCTTAAGACCTCCCATTCAGAGGCACTGCAGTGCCATCAGATGATCCCAGATCCATCTAAACCGGTTACAAGATGGAATTAAAGCGATAAAATATTCTTTCTCTCCGTTTACCATTAGAGCTTGTCCCAGCTGGGGCGGTGCCTCGCCGGCGGGAGATACCTGGTGGAGGAAATCCCTGATAGCCGACGGTAGGTAGGTATCGATCTTGCCATCCAGCGGTGGATGATCTCGCCACCTCCCAAGAGAGAAACATGCACTACACGTACGGGGATAATTGCCTGAGTAGTTGATCCGCCCGGATCGCTGGCGACGATCCAACCATGATTTCTAGGCTGTCCGGGTGACACTGCATCGTTGGCAGAGAGGCCGACGTTTCGCCTGTCATATCGCAGGCTCCCTGAGGGTAGTGACTACCTTGAGTGATATGTCTACCCTGATATGACAGGCGAAACGTCGGGCTCTCAGCCAACGACGCGGCGTCACCCGGACAGCCAAGAAGTCATGATGAACTCGAGCCGCGGAAGCCTAAGTGTACAACCAACCAATCCAGCGGTGAAAGATCACGCCACCTCCCGAGAGAGAAACTTGCACTACACTTACGGGGATAGTGACCTCAGTAGTTGACACGCTCGGATCACTAACAACCAACCAACCTATCCACTTTCCAGAACTCTCAGGGCATGGTATATGGATCTAGTGATGGAGGTGGTACCGCCCACTTGCCGACGAACGATCACTCACGCCACCTCCCAAGATAGAAACATGCACTACACTTACGGGGATAATGATCTCAGTAGTCGGCGCGTCCGGAATCACTACCAACCAACCTATCCACTTTCCAGAAACCTCATCGCGTGGTACATGGATCTAGTGTTGGAGGTGGTATCGCCCACTTGCCAACGAACGATCACGCCACCTCCCAAGATAGGAATATGCACTACACTTACGGGTATACTGCTCTCCGTAGTCGACGCGTCCGGAATCACTACCAACCAACCTATCCGCTTTCCAGAACTCTCATTGTGCGGTAGGCGTATGCAGTGATGGAGGTGTTGGTGTCGGTGTTCGCAGGTACTTCGCAGGGGCGGTGGCGTCGAGGGCGGCGCCGGTGGCGGAGACGCTGGCCAACGTCTCCGTGGTGCTGGTGAACGCCCACCACAGTCTGGACGGCGCGCGGCCCTTCGTACCAGCGCTCGTGCCCATCGCAGGCATCCACATCAAACAGCCCAAGCCGCTGCCCAAGGCAAGACTCACACTCCGGTTTTTACAACTCTGCCCCTTCATGGTCAGACTCTACGTGGTATTATGCCATTGGTTCTCGTGTCATTCTCCATTGTGCCGCCAGATGTCGCATGATTGCGACCGAATCCAGCACTACCAATCTGTCGTGATAGTAGTCCGATATAGCAGCTCAAGCTGCTGCTCAAGGCAAGTCCCACACTCTGGTTTTTACAACTCTGCGCCTTCATGTTCAGACTCCACGTGATATTATGTCATTGTTTCTCGTGTCTTTCTCCGTTGTGCCGCCAGATGTCGCATGTTCGCGACCGAATCCAGCACTACCAATAAGTCGTGATAGTAGCCCGATATAGCAGCCCAAGCCGCTGCTCAAGGCAAGACCCACACTCCGGTTTTTACAGTTCATGTCCCTACTTCTCGATGGCATTGTGTCACTGTATTTCGCGTGTTTGTCGGACCAGTAGATGTCGCATGATCGTGGCCGTATTCAGCACTACTATGTAGTCGCCATAGCAGCCCGATATAACAGCCCAAGCCGCCGGCCAAGGCAAGTCCCACACTGCGGTTTTTACAACTCAATACCGTACTTCACTGTGTCACTATATTTCTCGTCTTTTAAGTCGTGCCGCTAGATGTCGAATTCAGCGCCGTATTCAGCACCATTATATAGTTGCGATAACAGCCCTAGCTGCTGCCCAAGGAAAGTCCTACAGTGCGGTTTTTACAACACAATACCCTACATCACTGTTGCATTATGTCACTATATTTCGCGTCTGTTACTTCGTGCCGCTAGATGTCGCATGATCGCGCCGTATTTAGCACCACTATATAGTCGCGATAACGGCCCAAGCCGCTGCCCAAGGCAAGTTCTGCAGTGCGGTTATTACAACTCAATACCCTACTTCACGGTCGCATTATATCACTGTTTCTCCCGTCTTTCTCGGTCGTGCCGCTAGATGTCGCATAATCGCGACCGTATTCAGCACTGCTATACGGTCGCGATCATGCGACATCAAGCGATACGATCGAGAAAAGATGCGAAAAACTGTGAAATAAAGCTACCGTGAAACAGGGCCTTCAGAGGGCAGAGTTATAAAAACCGCACTATAGTCCACCTCTAGTTAAGAAACAAGGGGCCGTAACTTAATCGACATAATTTTTATTTACCGTTTTTCTGTGAAACAATGTTGAATATTATGATGTTTAATGGTAGAAATTTATCTACATTGTTACGGCAACATTTTTGTTAATATTAAGGTTTGAAAGATTGGTAACCTTTTGCCTAACATGGAACTACGCATAAAATGTCAGTGTCTCCTATAAAATTTAGAATATGTCGCTTACAACGATGTTATGGCCCATGCTTCAATTATCTAGGTTGCCAGACCTGGAGAATCGAGGTCACTAAGGTTGAAGAGCCGTTGTTGCCTCGGCCCGAAGGGTCATGTGTTTGAATCCCGACCGGGTTATGGCTGTTTGTTTGTCCATGGTGTACGTATGTATTGCCCCTACAGTTACTTAATGTTGAAATTCACAGTGGTCGCTTTATGACTAAGCAATTAAAAAGCGACCAAAAAAATCTTTTAGATTGGTGGTGAAGTCCTGAAGTTCATTCCAAACACGATCTTTTGTAATTTCTTTCTAATATCCATACCTTTCTTCGTACTTATCCGTATCTTTCTGAAATTTTGTCAGAAATGACAGAAAAATTAGTACTTACTTCCTTAATGATTCGGTAACAAAATCATCAAATCTAAATTTAAAATTCGAGTTTAGAAAATTGTTGTCGTTCGCCGAGTTATCGCAGAAGTGATCCAATTCCTTTACTTTGCGGTACGATTACGAATAGAGCCATAAAAACAATTGAATATTAACAAACAAATAAAAAATCTTATGTTTGCAACACCGTTTCAACAATCAGTTCATCAAATGGTTCGTTCCTCGAAAATCCATTCACTGTCTCGTTTAGAGAATCGAAATCGTCGAGTTGCAGGAGCTGCAGCAGTTCCTGCGAAGTCTTCCGCTGAAAGCGCGGCGATCAACTTGGGGTTGCTGGTGTGCAGCGACAAATTAATAATATTCTAACAACGTATCAACGACCAATTCACCATCAAATTCATTCTTTGAAAGACTCGTTCTTTGACTGACTCGTTCTTTGACTGACTCGTTCTTTGACTGACTCGTTCTTTGACTGGCTCGTTCTTGACTGGGGCTCGTTCTTTGAACAGCTGGCTCGTTCTTTGACTGACTCGTTCTTTGACTGACTCGTTCTTTGACTGACTCGTTCTTTGACTGACTCGTTCTTTGACTGGGCTCGTTTCTTTGACTGCTCGTTCTTTGACTGGCTCGTTTCTTTGACTGGCTCGTTCTTTGACTGGCTCGTTTCCTTTTGACTGACTCGTTTATTTTGACTGACTCGTTTTTGACTGACTCGTTCTTATGGCTGATTCGTTCTTTGACAGACTCGTTTCTTGACAGACTGCGTTCTGTAGAGGAAATGGTTCGTGAATTTGGAAACTGCGGTGTCGCAGGATCTGCAGCAAGTTCGCTAGGACGGCGCGACGGAGGGCGCGGTGTAACTTCGCTGGGGTCGCTGGTGGCAGGCGACGCCTGGGGGGCGCAGCAGAGGGACGCGCTCGTGGGGCGTTCGCAGAGCGGCTGCCACCGCGGGGTGCGCGTGCTGTGGAAGTGGGAGAGCGACCGACCCCGCCGCCCTGGCTGCCTGCGGCCAATCGTTGCGGCGCGGCAAGTGGCTGTGCCGGAGAGCCGAATCCTCGGTGAGTTCCAAACGAAGCGACTGATTCGTTCATCTCGGAATGTAGTCTTTAAAACGTACGACCGTCGTTATCACCTTCAGATCAAGGACGCTCTGTTTCAAGCGAACATTCTACTTTTCGCATTTATTTGAAGAACGTCATTTTAAAGAACTACTCGTTTCTCAAGTCTTTAAAAGATCCAGTTTTAAACAAAAGAACTGCTTTTCATTGATTAAACGAACACTCGTTTGCATTCAGTTAAATGTCCTTCCTGACGAATTTGCGTTGCAATTCATTCAGAACTCTTTATGAAAAACAATTCGTTTAATTCACTCAAAACGTCATTCTGAACGAACTATTCGTTTTCATTTCATTCAAAACGGTTTAAATGAAAGACTCGTTCGTTTTCTGTAAGGTTTCTCATCAGATGATACACTATTTTATTTTTACGAGTCTCGCTATTAAGTATTTTTTTGCCTGCTTTGCGTGGTGTCTGAATGAAGGTATAGAGAATATGAAAGAAGATGTGTTTGGAGTAGTTGGGAAATAAAAGATCGTGAGTTTGATCCCTGTCTCTGGTGGTTGGAGAGCGGTGAAGTTCTCGTTTCTTTCCTTTTCCGCTCACATATTTGTAACTACGAGTTGTGCAGAACTGTCCTCGACAAAAAGGTATAAATTTACTACCTTGTTTTTATTTATGTTGTCACTATTTCACAAAGCTTTTTAATATCCGTCCACGAAAATCATAAAATCATTATTTGTGAACGTCAATTTAATTCAATCATTTTGAAAGACAACCCCATATAGCACATTCTATAATTGGATATTTATTCATCTTATTGATTTATCTTTCTTATTGTCCTGTTCCTCTTATTGGCCCGTTTTTCCTTTTTGCCCAGTTCTTTGTTATTGAGTACTCCTTTCTCATTTCTTATATCTTAGTGATCTGTTCCTTCTAACTGATTTGTTCATTTTTACTGTCCCTTTCCTCCCTATTGGCTCGTTTTCTTATTGACCCCTTTTTTCTTACTGACCACTTCTGTCATATTTCCCCGTTCTTTGTAAGAGATCCATTCAATCTTACTGACCCGTTCTTCCTTACTGACCCGTTCTAGCTTGCTGACCCGTTCTTTCTTACTGATCCGTTCTTTCTTACTGATCCGTTTTTGCTTGCTACCCGTTCTTTCTTACTGACCCGTTCTTTGTGCGGGCAGCCCACCCGAACGTGCGCGCGTTCATCTCGCACGCGGGCATGCTGAGCTCGCACGAGTCCACGTGGCGCGGGGTGCCCATCGTGGCCATCCCGTTCATCGTGGACCAGTACCTCAACGCCGCGCGCCTGCAGGGGCTGGGCGTGGCGGAGAAGCTGGACTACGCGGCGCTCAGCAAGGAGAGCGTGCTGGCCGCGCTCACTAAAATGCTCGGGGATCCCAGGTCAGTAGAAATGCGATATAACTCAATGACCCGTTCTTTCATGTTCCTCCGTTAGGCAGATACGAGGAGTACAGGTAAACATGATATAAACATGAACATAACAACAAATGATTTTTTTAAATTCTGTTGCGTCTCTTTGGCAGCCATCTTTAGGGGGGGTATTGCAACAACACTATACAT